CATTAATGTAGTTATTTTTAATGTCTTTTCTGCAGACCTGAGGACTGTATTTCTGAGGGGTCGGGGGGGTCTGTTTTGAAACTTTGAATAAACGTTGACAAAGCCTTGAAGAGAAATCGTTGGTTAAAAAAACAAAAACAGGATCGGCTTGTTTATTCCTTTTTTTTGGTTCCCTCTCAGAAATGACTCATGTCTCTGTGCATGTCACTGAGTTTAACGAATATCAACACTTCCTCACTGTTCCTTCCGTCCTTTTCCTCGTGCTTGTGCCAGCACCAGCCTTCAAGAAGAATCAACCTCTCACTTTCTTTCCTTTCTTACTTCCCCTCCTCACCATCAGCTCCAGCTGTGGGACACAGCCGGACAGGAGCGCTTTCGTAAATCCATGGTGCAACACTACTACCGTAACGTCCACGCGGTGCTCTTCATTTATGATGTCACCTCTCCTGCCAGCTTTAGCAGCCTGACTTCCTGGGTAGAAGAATGCCGGCAGCACTCCCTCGGCCAGGACATACCCAGGTACCTGCATCACTTCTCTGTGTGCAAAAGTGTTTGTTTAACTTGGACCAGACTCTTTGTGACCTTTCATTTCCTCGTCTCCTCTCAGATTCCTGGTGGGGAATAAGAGCGACCTCCGTGACCCCAAAAAGACTGACAGCCAGGTGAGCCAGGAGCGGGCAATGAGCTTTTCCAAAGCCCACGGCATGATCTTCTTTGAGACATCTGCCAAGGATCCTCCAAAGAAAGGCACAAGTGGACAACAAGGCAGCAGGCAGGCACTGTATCAGCAGGATAATGTAGAGGACATCGTCACCGCTGTTAGCCTCAAGCTGAAGAGACAGAAGAAACTCCTGACAGCGAATTCCCTGGCGTACAGCGGCTCCTTTAAACTCACTAACAAGAAGGCCGAGAAGGAGCCGATGACCTGCTGCTGAGAGCGAGGAGGACGAGGACATGCCAATCCAGTCACTCTCACACAGAACTTTAATATTTAAACTCTTAAAAATGCAAAACGTGCCACTCAGAAATTTAGTGTATATTTGTGATCTCAGTGTTTATAAAATACTGTGAATGTAAACATGCAAGTGAGCTTTCGATGCAGTGACGCTGTTTGTTTTCAGCGTGCGTGGTCTCACTGGCTGAGCTCAGGGTTTTCTCATTTCCCTGTTTTGTGCCTCCTTGTCTCCTCTTTCCTTCTTGTATCTCAGTGCCTACAGTGCGTCTCGAGGAGAGAAGAGGCTTTGCAGGAGCAGCTATGAGTGAGAAAGCACAGGTGTGTAATCTCCATCTGTGACGTATGCACAAATATACAAACCACGGCAGGATGAGGACTCTGTAAAAAGGTGTTTTATTTCTGTTTTTACGATGAATAAAATAATAAAAATGCATGATATTCACACATTGTTGTGACATTGTGCCCACTCTGCAAGTCGATTTAAAGCTAGAGAGATAGTTTATCAGGAACTCTGATACACGTGTGACAGATCGCGAACTATAACGGTCTGCTTTCCCACATCACGTTTAATTCTTGTAAAATAACAGCTCAGAAACAGGGCTGCGATTTACCAACATGGAGTAAATGGTCATGAAAATTTTGAGCCGTTACTGTGGATTTAGAAAGTGTCAGGCGATTACTTCTCACACATAAATACAACGTAATGCAATCGTCTACGAGCAGCTCAACTTTCACAGAATTTAACAGAAAACCCTGTAACTCAGCAGCGCACTCAACTCCAAATGCTAAACTCCGACCTGGCACGAGTCACATTAAACTTACAGCTTCCTCAGCTGCTGTTATTCACTGACTCAGACTGAATGTGCACCCAGGAACTGATACCACAGATCCAACATGTCCAATATGACTGGATGCATTAAAGCAAGGCACATAGCTCTGAGAATGAGCTCTTTATCCGTATCAATCAGGGATGTAAACAGAGAACCAGCCAGTCAAAGGGTCCAGTCAAGAAAGTGTGAAAATTGCAAAGCAGGAGGTCAACAGTTTTTGATTTTTACTTGTATTCTTGATGGTCTAACAGCCTAGTGTAGTACACCAAAGTAAGCAAAAGATTAACTATTAAATCTGTTCCTTGTTCACCACAGAATTTCGTTCTTTTTCTTTTTTTAAAGTGGGTCCATAAGAAATTTTCTGTAAATTAAAAAAAGAATTCAGGTTTTAATTATATGACCAAGTCCAGGTAATGAGCTTTTGTGTATTTATTACTCAAAGTGTAAACCCAAGGAGCGGTGCAGGTGTGTTTATTTGAGGCAGTACTGTGGTTTCAGTGGCCAAACTGGGCTGTAAGTTTGACACCGCTGGTCTGGATGCTCTTTCTGTGAGTTTTCTCGTTTTGGAAATGTCAGCTGCAAAGATGTGAGCCGTCTCTGGGATGTGATGGCACCAAAATATAACTCCAGGCTTTTGGAAAAACTGACTCTTAGTGTGATATTGTGCAACGTCTTTTCTTCCTACTGTCACACCCACCAACCCTGGCACTGTGCCTCCATCCACCATAATGAGTCACCGTGTCATTTGGTTCAATAACATTCAAAAGAAAGCAAACATCTCGGCTTCTGATTTCTCCAGTGCTTAAAAACTTTGAGTCAAATCATCCTGTGCCAGGCGTGTCAAACATGCAGCCCATCCAAGGGTCACAGAGTGAAATTTACTCAGTTAAAATTTACTCAAATAGTTCCAATGAGATGAGAAGAAGAAGGAGGCGTGAAAGCATTTGGACACTTTACTGGAAAAACAAAGACATTAAACGTGGCGGTTTTTGCCTTTCCTCTGAATCTGATTTGTGGTAAACATGTACAGACTCACTGAATGTGGAAAATAATACATATTTTTCTCAAGACATTTGAGGCTGTTTATAAACAGATGCTTCATTAAATGTTTTCAGAATATACTTCTTTATCACAGAAAGGTCAAATTAGTTTTTATTGTTTTATCTAAATGGCTCTTTTCTGATAGATTAGATTAGTTAGAGGTTCTGGGGTAAAACTTCTTAAATGTAATCTTGTGGTGAGCTGGTCCTTTTCTCTGGAGGATAAAACATATTTAACACTTATGTGATTCACTAAGTGTGTAATATGAGCTGGTGCTGTTTTGATGCATCACCATCTCATCCTGGCTGCCCGCGGACTCGGCAGCAGTCATGCTCGGGTCTTGTGCGTGATGTGGGCGTTGGAAAAGTGCATCACATGTGGTTTCACGACTTTGTCTAATCGATGATTCAGAGCTTGTCACATGATTAAAGTCGAACAGCCAGACTTCTGCAGATCCTACAGTCAAACAACAGCCAGCGTCTGGTGTTTAAGGACGTGTGCACACACGAAAGTATCACAGCTGTGCAACATTCAACAGCTCAGAAGTAGGCGTGTCTCTGAATGCAGGGAAGAGTGGAACCAGAGGAGGAGAGGCTGCTTTCTTTACTCTGAGATTTTTAAGTAAAATCTTAATTGCTGTTTTTGTACGTTTACTGCACCTGTAAACTTACCAAAAGAAGCTCTATGAAGCTCCTGCAGGTGGTTCAAGAGAGGAAAGGCCTCCTGATAATTTCATAGTGGGGGTTTAGCTTGGAGCATGTAAACTTTGAACAGTTTTTAATGAGTTTTAAACTGGGGACTAAAAAATGACTTGGGAACTCGGCGAGTGTAGGGTCTGATGTTTTGCGGTTTAAAGCCCTACTACAACCTGTCTTTTCTAAGTCTTATAACACAATGTCCATTATATCAGAAAAATGCTAAGTCTGACTTTAATGAGATAATATTTTGGCACTTCTTGGTCTGACCTAACCAGCAATGTATGATGGTTGAACAGGAAACATCTCAGAGTAAAATTACTCACTTTATCTCAAATTTCCACTTCAGCTGCAGGTTTAAGGCTTTGCCGCGACCCTGCACACTGTAAAGATTCAATCATTTTATTTTACTTACAAAAATAATACAAAGTAATTGCCACAAAAAGGCCAAGTACTATTAACTATAAGCTATTCCTATTTTTTTTTTAAAAATTAAAAGCCTTTTTACAAAGTTTTTAATTATTGTAAATATTTTATGGTTGCAAAGTTGTGACCTGTTTTTGATTCGTGTGTATTGTGCTTCAATGTATTGATATATGCATACTTATATTTTTACAAATGTAAAACCTTACAATGGATGGAACAGCCAAATTATGTGGACTTTTTTGCATCTACGTTCTTGTGTAATGTTTCATTAGATATTATACTTGATGTCTTGGGCTCCAGGAACACTAGCAGCCACTATTGTGCAAGCTAATGGGGTTCATTATATATAAATAATTAAATAAATAAAAATAAAGCTTAAAAGGGGGGACTTACTACTTGTACAGTATTCAGTGGTAATTAATTAGTATTTATTTTGAATTAAATTGAGGTGGAATTTATTTTATTCAACTTCAGCTGAACTCAGAAAGAAATATTTATTATTTATTATCAAACATATATTTGTTTTTGAAAGTTCGGAGTACTTATGCACATCAGTTACCTCAGTTTTTGTCAAACTTTTTGAGAACCACTGTATTAGTCCATGTCATTAACTTTTCTTCTCTCTTCTGTGCTTAGTATTTATGTCATCTGTCTTCCTTCACGTCCTAACTGCTCACAGCAGATGGCCTTGCTGAATCTGCCTCTGCTGGAGGTCGCTTCCTACTAAAAGGGACTTCTTCCTCCCCGCCATCGCCAAGTGCTTATGGAGGATCAACTGGACACAGATGAGTTTTTCGCTTTAATACTGTGGTTTTTGTGATTTACACCTTTGAATATAAAGCACCTGTTGTTTTTGTGAGGTGGTACTAAATGAATAAAACCGAACATATTATGGGATGTTACACAGACCTTGCATATAAGTGATTACTGTCAGTAGATTTAGGAGAAGTCAAACTTTGATAAAGTCTCACGTCCGCGTTGTGTTTTTATGGATGTCCAGATCTGATCTACAGGCCAGTCTTTTGTCCTTGACTCTGTCACTCCGTGCACACTCTGACAGAGATCGCATTACGCAACCAGAGCTGACGTTGTCATGCAACTGAACTAGAATGTGATGCGCTTAAAACCAGCCTGCGGCATCTCTCCTTCTCACAGTCACAGCTGAGAGAGAGGGCAGAATGATTTAATGAAGGAAGAGGGGGATTATATGATATATGCAGGTCAACATCTGCCTCAGAAGGATCCAAACACCAGGAGAAAATACAAATCACAGCTCTGCTCATTCTTTGGTGCTTCAGTTCTTGCTATTTGTGTTCTGTTAGATTCTCGTCTGCAGGGGGCGTGCTGGTGGAGCTGTCTGCTTTTGAATGGGGGTGTGCTCTGTTCCCATCAGCACTGGTGAGCAGCAGCTGAGCGCTTCCCATCATTTCGCCGTAAAACCTGCCGGAGAAAAACTCGCTTAGCTGCAGCTGATACCCGAGCAATCATGTTCTGCAGACGGGCATGGCAGAGAGTCGGGCCGCTGGCACGGAGGTCTTTCAAGCCGACACCCAGATACGGTGAGTCAGGACATTTAATGGGACTTTCCAGGAATTCTTACTGTGGCGTTAATTAGAGTAATTAAGTAGAGTTTATAGAATAGTTGCGCTCGTTTATTTTCTGCTGCTGCCAGTTCAGTTTATTATTATTTTTTCATGATTTTGTGGGTCGAGAAAGGGAAAAGTAAAAGTCCCATAAAGAGACGCACTTGCGGGCTTTCCAGTCGAGCTGCAGCAGTCTGATAAAGAAGGTGTGTGCTCTGGGAACACACAGAAGTGTACCACTTGAAATATTACATATTTCAACTTTGTTACAATAAATATTAACTAATCCAATATTTGAACAGAAATAACAATTAAAGGCGATTCTTTATGATGCATCGAAGGAGTGTAGACGATGAAATCACGTCCTAAATCCAGTTTATCTGGATAACAACGTTTATAACCTATTAGTGAACAAAACATCTGTTTTTCAGAATAATTATTTTTAAAATCTGAATCCAGAGAGCGTGCAATGACGGATATTTCAGACTGGCTCTGTTTTCACGCATGCCTGCCTGCCTGGCCCGGATCATCCTTTAGTTTGGGATCAGAGCTTTGTGGAATTCAGCCCGAGGCAAAGCTGCTGCTTCTGCTGCTGCTGCTTTAATTTCCTGCTGAGAAATCTGCGGCAAAATGCTGCAAACCAGGCTACATCTGGTCACGATAGAAGGTTTTTGTGTTTTTGAACTTACAAGCAGGCAAAAAAACAAACAAAAACTAAACCCCAGAAGATGTGACGTGAAAGAAAGGAGGTGAATACTGCTACTGCTTTCTAACTACACACCAGCTCGACACACTGCATCCTAAGTATGCAGCAGGTCCCTTCCTGTTTGACCATCATGTCCTCAGACATGTCTATCTTGTCTGCTGTTCCCTGACATGCGTGTCTATGTTTACAGGCTTGAACCCAGCAGCCAGGATTAAGTGATTACCTGTATAAATAACCTGTATAAGTAACCTGTCCCTGCACTGTGCTGCTGTGTCATTGGTATTAGAGCAGGAGGGAGGACAAACCTCAGCTCTGTTTTGGGTTTGTAATTCAGCGGAGCTGCAGTGAAACTTTGCACAGTGCTCTTAAATATAAAGTCAAAAACAGGGACAGCGAGTCGGCTTCGATAAAAGGTTGATGGGACGGTAAAAGCTGCAGCTTAGCACAAAGAGTGGGAAGAGGAGGGAAATGGTTCTGCCCAAAGAGAAAAATAATCTAAAAGCATCTCTAAAGCTCACTGAAGCCATTTTTACAGCTCACGCATGAACTCCAGACGATGCTGAAGAGTCACTTTAGGAAACAGATGTAGCATATAAATGGAAAAGGTCTGTATGATGACCAGACATACTAGCAATGCTAGAAGAACCCTGGTTTAGTCAGACAGTTGCCTGCAGTCATGCAGGTTTAACAGGACATGACACAGACTTTGTGTTATATGCATATATCCTGTTGGGACTTTTATGTGTTTTCTCACTGTTTACTTTCACTCAAAACTACCATCATAGGTTTAAGCTCTGAAAGCTCATTGGTTAAGTTTAGGCACTGAAGGAAAAGCATGTTTGGTTAGGTTCCGGCAGAACAGCTAAACAATTACATCAATTCAGTTTAAAGCTTTTTGAAGCCAATGAATGAGGCTGTAGATAGAGTTAAGCCTTAGTGCTTTCTGGGTTCACGGTGTCATTTCAGCTACTTTAAAGGGAACACATTATGCTTTTATTTTTTATCTCTAGTGCTCTACAAGAGTAGCTTTGCTTGATCCACGGTTCAAAACAATCCTTCCTTCCAGAGCTGTGTGCCTGATGTAAGCGATGTCCGCTTTCACTGACATCATCCAGAGCCAACAGTAGAAAATAGTTTGAAGCAGGCTGAAGCTTGAACTTTTGGTTCACAGGAATTGTTTTCACCTCATAATTTAAAACCTTAGTAAATAGTAATATGCACATCCACCGTTCTAACAGTTAATATATGACAGAAAATGTGCAAAAGCATAATGGATCTCATTTAAGATTTCAAAATGTGTCTAGGCCATTTGGCGCAGTTCTTCTGAACCTGTGAGAACAAAGTGACGTTTATAAGAGAAGCCTTTTTCTTGTATTATTATTAAACCAGTTTCAACCTTGTGAAAAGCAGTGGCTGGCGAGGTATGTGCTGGATGACAAAGAACAATCGATAAAGTTTAAATGTCAGTCAGTGGAAAAGTCAAAAGTGACAGGATGGGTTAGGATTTGCATGAACACACACAAACAAAGAGGGGTGAGATGTGCTGCACCCTGTGTTCTGTGACTGCACACTCTCACAGTGTGTGAGAGTGAGAGGTCCAGATAGGAAGAGATTAGATTGAGGCTGTGTGATTTTATTTATGCCAACCTGCTTGCACCACCTTTAAACACCAGCTGATCTTTTTGCAGCTGCACTCGTCACCAACACCACAGCGGCAGTCCTGATTTGTGCTAAATGACTATTCCATATGAATTTGAACCCATTGCTTTATGTTGTTTGTTTTGATGCAAATCTGAGATCATCATTCAGGAAGTCTTAGTGTTTGTGTAGAGTGTGTGTGCGTGTGTGCCGGGGGTTTAATTTAAGCAAAGATTCAGTGTTTGGCTTGGCTGCTGCTAAATCTTTCCATCTCCTCTGCTACAAATGACCGGGCTGTATTGTGTAACTGGATTAAGGGATGGAGACATGTTGACGCTGTTGATGCACTGTTCTTCGTGCCCGTCGTGCTTCTGATGGAGCGACAGTTTTCTGAACAAAATAAACTCACAAAGTATCAGAGCTGTAGTGGTTTCTATCCATGACTCTCCAGTATTAGTACTGATTCTCATTTTAAATGCACTTGCGTGTGTTTATATAAATAAATGTCTTTATTACAAGCTCGCCGGATAACTGTACCCGTGTGTGTCTCTCCACAGCTCCGGTGCGACACATGGCCTTCGGTGTTCCTGGAGGCTCCACCAACATGACGTACTTTGTTTTATGTGGCGGCGGCCTCACTGCTGCAGTTGTTTATGTGAGTATCAGATCAGGTTATAGGCGATGGTTCGTAAGTCCACATTTTCACCGTGTGTGTACTGTTTTTGACTGCTGTAAGCAGGTGTTACACATGGATTTTTCAGGTGAGGAACCTGAACTTGTGCTACAGCGTGGGCAAAAGAAAATCTTTGCGATCATTTGTATTAATATTCATTATTTATGTTGTTTTCCTTTATATGAGCCGTGATCAGCTGCCCTGTGGTGCTGCTGCTCTGAGGTTTACTTCTCTTTCTTGATTTAGACAAGGTAATTCAGTAATAAGCAGGTGTTATACACTGATTTTGCACTTTTTACTCCAGATGCCCATCCTGCTGCCACCACAAAGGGATTCATGTCTAAATTGAACACTGATGACTGCTAACATCAATCTAACCAAGTTTTTTTCAAACTTTTCCTCACATTTCGTTTCAAAAGCTGAAAAAGTTCATGCCTCACAGCCTGTATTTTTTTTAATCAGTAGTTAAACATAAACAAATCCATGTTAAATTTCACATAAATAGAGGTGCAGTAGCATCATTAAATTAATTTATTTCCCCTTCGAAGAAAATCATTTTCACCTGGTTGTTCATGTCCGATCAGAGGTGCCCATCCCAGAGTATGAGAACCTTTAAGAACCACTGCGTGCTCTGCACCTGGCTTACCTCATCACTGCAAAATGAGGTTAACCTGCACAAGACCACCTAGTACTACAGATTCACTGTAGTTAACATGAATTACAACATTACAAGTAACCTTTAAATTTAAGATGATCAAATAACACTTGTTGACCAATCCTTACCTTTGTCTGTTTCACACAGTTTTTTTTATTCTTGGCTCTGTGTGATGTCACTGGGAGAGGATATCCCTAATATGGTCATCTCTGGCACACAAGTCACCTGCTGCTTAAACACGTGGTTTACAGGAGACAGAATAATTAAATATTACTGCTGCACACATTCTCAATGAGAATAAATGTATTAATTCACAAAGTTTAGCTAAACGTGCAGCAGTTATATTCAGTTATTTCGTTAAAGACTTGTCATGTGTTCAGGTGTGCAGAGATTTTGAACTAGTTGTTTACGTGAAGAAAGTTTTCCAAAAGGGAGGGGGTGGTGGGGTTAAGATAGAGGATGAACGGAGAGGTTCAAGGTCCAATACAAGAAGACTGAGGATTATTTTGAAGTGTTAGTCATGCAAAGCTAGTGCAAGAATAGAAACACAGAGCTGGAAATGAAAGTAACTCATCCCCCTTTTTCTACTTTTCAATAAATTCGTGTTTTTCAGTGTTATACAGGAGTGTAAAAAAGGTCTGCTCTCTTTTTGCATCTTCAAAGAAACAAAATCCTCTAGTGCGTTTTTTTAATACTCATTCAAAACCAGAACAACAAGCTGCTGCACTGGATATATGCAGTTACCTGGTAGTTTTACAGGCTTCTGTCCTTGCTGGTGCAAAGTGGGAGCGATGCAGTCTGAAGCCAGGCTGGTCTGCAGACGTTACCACAGCTCAGACGCTGGACGGGACAAAAGAGGCTCTTTGTGCTTTTTGACAATCTCTCCCTTTTTGCTGCCATTGTTCGGTCAAATTTGTCACCCATTCACCGTCAGGCTCTTGGCAAAGCAAACAAGTGTGTCTGACTGTGTTGGTCCATGTTGGACAAAATGTCAGCTTGAGGTTGGATTTTGTTTCGTGCCGTTATCATTAGCTGTGTGCTGGAATGTAATGAGTCTGCTGTGTTTCTCTCAGGCATACAAGACGGTCAACGATGATACCGAGCGTTACGAGGAAAGACTCGCCAACATGGGCTCCACGGCGAAGGGTTAGCTACTTTCTCACACACACACACACACACTCAAAAACAAACACCGTTACCCACAACTCAGCTTTGTGAACATGACATTGTGCAAGCCGTACACGCTGCACAGACAAGACACACCGATTTCAACTTATGTGATCGCAGCTAAAGCAAGAGAAGGTCTGATATGCAACTTAAAACACTAATTTCTTTTCAAACCTTCTATTTAACCAGTATGTGAAACTCAAGGATAGGCAGCACCAGCCTAGCTTGTTTTTGATAGTAGAAAAGCTGGAGATCCTACAGGAAACTCACACAGTCACAGTGAGAGAGTGCAAACTCCCCACAGAGCTCCCGTGTGTGGGTTCAAACGCAGCGATGAATGAAGAGCCCCGAAACACCATCCATGACTGTAAAAGGACCGGTTTTATCAAAGAAATCCCTCACTGTGAGCCTCCTCTACAACAGGTTAAAATGGTGCTACTTCAGCTTGTGCCATTAAGATTAAAATTCCCCAAGGTGTGACAGCCTGTCGGAGTCTGTAACTGTTTAATCGAAGACAGAGAAAGCAGAAAGGAAGAAGCGAATGTATTTCAGGGCTGATTCCAGCTTCACCAGCTGCACGGTAGACTGATCACTCTGAATGGCTTCATCGTGCCTGTCTGTTTTGATTTCTGTCTGCGCAATTTTTGTCTACTCAGCCCGGAGAGGCCATGGCGCTGTGCCCAGAGCCGTTAACTGTGCTGTAATGGTGCTAAGCAGCAGCTGTCAGTGGGTTAGTTGTGATCATGCAGCATTGAAGTGTTGTTTTCACTCCGAAATAAGAAGTCAAAGTGCTGCTGCTTACAGCGATGGAGAGGAAACCACCGCTGGTCTTTAAGGAGCTGAATGCACACATTAACCTGACGTGCTTTGCATCTATAACAAAGATGGGAAAGCTTTCCATAACATTTAGTGTGTTTAGGGGAGTTTTGACCATTCTTCCAGAAGTGCATTTCTGAGGTCAGACACCAATGATGGACGAGAAGGCCGACATCGCTGTGTTCGTCCCAAAGGTGTTCTATCAGGTTGAGGTCAGGACTCTGTGCAGGCCAGTCAAGTTCTTCCACACCAAACTCATCCATGTCTTTATGGACCCTGCCTTGTGCACTGCAGTGCAGTCATGTTGGAACAGGAAGGAGCCATCCCCAGACTGTTGCCACACAGTTAAACGTCTTACTGTGCTGAAGCATTAAGTTCCTTTCACTGGAGCTAAGGGGCCGAGCCCAGTTCCTGAAAACAAGCGGTGCACCATAAACCCCCCCTACACCAAACCTTACACTTGGCACAATGCAGTCAGACAAGTCAGACAGTTGGCAACTCGCTCTGTGATTTTTCTTGGCCTACCACTTCAATGTTGAGTTTGTCATTCCCAATCACTTCCACTTTGTTATAATGCCCCCATAGTATATAGTGCTTGATTTTATACACCTGTGGCCATGGAAGTGAGTGGAACACCTGAGCTCCGTGAGTAAATATGTTTGGCAAAATAGTCCAAGTTCCTTGAAAGGAACAGTATAGACTGAAAGATTGACGTAGTTTACAGGTTTGAAAGGTGGGAATTAAACCTGCATTCTTTCTAATGGCCAGTAGGGGGTGAATTGTGTCGTTGTAAAAGCCAGTACAGTAAACAAAAATGCGAGAAAAACAAACCTACGGCTCACGTGATGTAAAACCTCAGAAAAAGCTTTCCTGCTGGGTTTATGTCATTATAGTACGATTGGTCTGTTAGAGGAAAAAAATAAAAATAAGTGTATGATGTAAGGCCAACTTATGAGTGACAACTCAGTACTCTACGCATGTGCTCTGTTTCCCAGTTAATGATACTGGTTTCAGAAATCTAATATGGCAACAGCCAAAAATGTCTATAATATTAGCTCAGATTTGGAGACTGAGACGTTAAACTTTATCTCTAAAGTGCTGACTGAAGTCGTGCTGAGCTTTGATTCTGACTTTTTCACTCCACAATCTTCAATAAGCAGTTATAGGAGTGGTAATAATATATTTCTGTCTTTCACTGACATGTTAGGATAAGGATTATCCTTCACTTTGCTCATGTTTACAGTTTTAACAGCAGCTATGTCACCTTTTAGTCCTCAAAGACCTAAAGTCTTGACCTTTAAGCCTCCTTTCTCTGCTACTGAAACCTACATTAATAAAAGTGCACAGTTGTTTTCATCTTTAATCTCCAGAGGTTAACACTTTATTCAGGCACAGATAAAACAAGCATCATACAGCTAACATGTACTAGAGTGAAATCTTTCACGTGTTTCTCTTTCTGGCCTCTTACGCTGCAGCTTCTTCAGCAAAGGCAGCACCAGAGGCAGCTCCACCTGCAGTTGAGCCTGCACCGGTGGAGGAGGAAGCCCCTGCTGCTGAGGTCATCGCTGAGTCTGCCCCGGCTACTGCTGCTGCAGAACCTGTAGGAGAGACAGCTGCTGAACCTGTTGTGGAAGCTGCGTCTGAAGAAGCAGAAGCCGCCACCGCCGTCTCTGAGGCGGTCGTTCCAGAGGCAGCAGCTGAGACGGCAGCTGAGTCAGCAGAGACGGAGGACGCCGCTCCACCTGTGGAGGCAGAGGTGGTTGCTGAAGTGGCTGTGGAGGCCCCAGCAGAGGAACCTGTGGCAGAAAACGCTGGTACGGCAGCAGTAGATCTCACTCCACCTACTGAAGCCGAGGTGGCCCCTGCTGCAGAGGTGGCTGCTTAAACCTGTGATGGCTCGATAGTTCACCCAGTTGGATGTGCTCTGTCCCTCCTCCCTGCCCCAGAAAAACGGACTCATTAACCCCATTTTTTTTGATAATGAGCGAAAAAAATGTAGTTTCAGTCGTTTTAAAAAAATCTGTTGGGGGTTCATCAGTCCAGTTTTCAGCTCCCCTCCTTCCCTTAGCTCTCCTAATGCTTCACATCCAAAAACATCTGGAATTAGTCTGTGTGATTAGAGCCACTGTGGAAAATTATGTCTGTATAGAAAATCTATCACAAAAAGGAAGAAATCCAAATTATAATTTGGATACTGTACAGTACACGGGGTAAATATAATGGACAGAACTAAGTTGGTAATTAATGCTTTCGAAAAATCTGATTTTAAGTGCTCTTAAAACAGGACAGCCCTGTTTCTTGTTCCTTTCCAGCAGGTTTAGATGGTATTTTATGTGTTCAGCCATGTTTTCTTTTAACCTCTAAACTCACCGTGAAGAGTTACCTGAACCAGCTAGCTCTTTGTTAGCAGACTGCAGTGCTGGTCTTGTGTTCTCAAACTATAAAACAGTTTTTGCACAGAGTGAGACGTGGTTAAAACTTCATTTCCTACTTTGTCTTCTTTTTTAAAAATCTCGTGCAGTAAGATGCTTTCTCATATTCATCATTACCACATATCCATCTTATTCTTCTACAGCTACACCAGCCTGCACTCACTTTATTTGCCTGGCACACATTTCTATTTCGTTGCCAATTTGTTCCCTAAAAAATCAAAGTCCTCTTTTTGTTGCTGCTGTCTCTTTCCTCTTTTACAGAAAATGCATTCACCCTTATGTCCGTGCATTGAAAATGGTCTTTGGTACAGCTGTAATAAAGATTTTCTTTAGTCTCTCAGATGTTTTTGCTTGTCGCTCCACACCATTAATATTGTATTTGGAGTAGAAACACCTACTTCCTGTAGAAAAGCTCCTTATCCTGAAGAATCCCTGTGCTGTGTTCATGCTCCTGTCTGGCTTCAGCTCGACTGCCATCAAACTAAGAAGTTTTTCCAGCCTTCATAATTGATTTCACAGTATTTCCCACTCACAGAATAATGAGCAGAAAGAAACCTCTGTTAAAAAAAATGCTGAAAAATAAACATAAATGCAAAAATAAACACATGGTTGCAAGTGCACAGAGGGGATATGACTAATACTTGTTTAAACGCTTGATTGTTTGAAAAAGAAATTCATCTGGAGAACAATATAAGAATGTGAATAAGGAATTAGTCAGTGTCTACAATACCAGAAAAGAGTATATTGCATTAAACCTGGGATTTGTAGTCTTCTGTAGAGTGCCTGAACCTGTGGTGACTGTAAAATATCCAGTTATAGATTCCTGGTCAAGGTAAGTTGAATTAATAGAAGATGTAAGAAATTATGTTTTTCATTCATAAAATTTAGTGAGAAGGCTTTAAATTCCATTTAAAGGTCTTAAATAAGCACAACGCGAGTTTAGAACACACTCTAGTCACACTTGTGATGTAGCGCAGAACTAAAGTAGATTTTAAAATGTTGGCATTGAAGTAAATCTGTTGATTTTTAACAGCTAGAAGGTTTTTCATCAAAACCTGTTTCTCAGCCATTACCTCATGTCTTTTCCCCTCCATCAGAGTCCGCACCAGAGCTGCTCACAGATGTTAAGCTCTTGACCAGCTCGACAGCTGAAATTGCCGCAGCTTCTGTTGGTGAGAAGGATCCGATGGAGACTGTCCAACAAACTGAAGGTGAAGGAAAGGGACACGAGGTGCTTGAAACAGAAGCTTTGGAAGAAGCCTCAGAGGCAGTGGCCAAGGAAGCATCTGAAGAGGGAGCAGTTGTAGAAGGTGAGGAGGAGGTGAAGTCTGGAGAGGGTGAGAAAAGTGCAGAAGATGCTCAGACTCCAGCTGCTGAAGAAGTGATAACGGAGGTGACATCTGCTCTGGCTGCAGCTGTGGACGAGGAGGCAGCGGCTGGATCTCATCCTGAAGAAACAACATCTCCAATGCCCACTGTGGACGAGGCAGAGGCTGAAGTTCGACCTGCTCCTGAGGAGGCCATCGCTGCTGAAGATGTTGCTCCTGCTGAGGAGGCCACAGTCACCAGTGAAGCTGCCCCACTGGATGAGATTTCACCAGCTGACCAGGCAGCAGCTGAAACACCTGCAGAGGAGACAGCTGAAGCTGCTGTCAGCACGACTCAGCTGGCAGCAGCCTCCGCTGGAGCGGACCTAAAGGTTCTTTCAGTTGCAGAAGCAGAGCCTACATCAGAAGCTCCTGTGCATGAGGAGAAACCCTGCCACTCCTGCCACTCTGCTCCCTCAACAGGAGAGGAGGTGGCGCCACCTGCTGCTGTAGGAGAGGAGTTGATCACTGATGGTGCTGTGGATACTTCACAAGAAGCCAAGGATGCAGCCTCAGCACAAAGTAAGAATAAAAACCCTCCACTTAAACACTGTTTCGGCTGAAATTCTGCATCATCTGTAGTATGTCCCAACCCAGTCTGAGAAGCAAGGGATCAACAGTGTAGTGAAACTGTGAAGTGAGAATTATTTACCACTTCACATAAAGTTAAAACAGTATTGAAAGTATTAATATCAAATTGTAGTTTTGAAACAAATAGGTTTTAGTTTTACCTCAAAATGCAAAAATCAGACAAAAACTAAAATCCTAGGTTTTAGTTTAGTTTAGTTCTGCTCGAACAAAACTGCACAAACAAAAGACAAAGAGGAACCTGGAGTGCAGGATCTGTTGCTTTTAGCCTACTTTATCTTGTCAGGCAGCTTCTATTTTTGGGATTTCTCGGTAAAGCAGGTCTGCCAGCAGTCAGTCCTGGGCATGCACACAGTGAATCGGTTAATTCATGATTTAACAAGAGGGGGCAATTACTTTGTCAGGTAATGTCAGGTTGGTTTGGATACCATTTTTCCTTAATAAATGTAAAAATATAAAATCTGCATTTCATTGGGTGAAATGATCTGAAACAAAACAAATCAAACAAAAACAAACAAAAAAAACCTAAGAAATCAAAAAGAGGACAAATACTTTTTCACAGCACTGTAAATATTGGCTGATCACACGGCACAATAATAATAATTGCAAAGACACAAAAACAGCAGTGATGGTATATGAAATCAATGGTGATGTCATCATTTTTATTTGTATGTTTATGTAATATGTACATAAAAATAAGGATAAGTTGGTATGTTGACTTCATAGTTGCGTGACTTGAAGTGCAGCCACAGTGACACGGGGAGGAATTCAGTAGACTTACAGCTCTGTCTGGTGATATTTCTGTAGCACTTCCCTATCAAGTTGAACAAACAAGTTTTATCTTTTAGTATAAAAAGGTCTTGAACTTAGTTTGTAGTGTGTATTAATATATTTGCACTTTACTGCTGTTTAAGGATCAGGGAAAAAGAGGAATTGTGACTATATGAAGAATAAAATATTGGGAAGTGAAACCCAAAACATCACACAAAAGAAAACAATGATCAAATTGTTAAAGTAAAACAGGAAACGGCCAAAAGGAAAGAACACTGAGACTAACACCAAACGAGATGGCATAAAAAAGGAAACACAAGAGATCAGAGGAGCTCGTGCAGAAACAAAGAGAGAGGGAAACAATGAGGGCGCTAGAAACACGAGAACCAAAGCAGAGCTCCAAGGAATGAAGATCAAACAATCAAAACAGGAATCCAAAAATTCAACAAACACAAAAATCAAATCTCAAAGAAAAAAAGAAACTAACAACACAATCATTGGACAAATACAGGGAGTTATACTACGTTTAGATAAAGCTAAGATAAAAATAAAAAGAATCACCACAGGAAGGCAAAACCTCGGGTTCTCAGAGGTGAACAAGACCAAAGTTATGGCCATCAAAGCTGATGAACCTTCCCAGATGACCAAATACAACACATTATCAGTAAATAAATAAAGTAGTAGGTCACTCACTGGTTCCCTAACGGCCTCCTTGCCACTCATTCGTGAAAACTTTGTGAACTCCCCCAAACGCTAAATGTATCCCTGTTCGAGTTTGCCCTCAAAAACAAGCAAGCAAAGACAGCAGTAAAGCCTTTCCTGTATTAGGCTCTGACCAGATGTATTTCTGCCTGTATCCACAGAGACAAAGGAGTCTAACTGGACTGTAAAACGCTGCTCAGTCATGTAATTTTACAGTTAAGAAGGTAAAGCAGCACAGCTGTACACAGACCTAAAGAGAGCTAAATGGACAAATATGCACACATTTTAGCAGCTCACACTGTAACAGCTCCAGTGGGTCTCATAAACATTCACAGACACTTTTCTCTGCTTCAAATGTTAGAAGATGGTTCAAGCTGCACAGCTGTGAATTCAATATTTAAAATCCTATTTTTTAAACTGTAGAAAATGTGCACTGCAAAATCCTACAGTCATGTACACCGAGTGAATGGGTTTCTGTCTCCTTTAAGTTGAAGTTGTGCTTGTTTTCTTGCAGCCATGGAGGCGACGGTGGTGGTGATAGCCCAGTCGTGACGGGACAGACAGTGTGCCTTCCACAACACTCGCCTATCTGTCAACTAAGCCAGAGGGACCGGCAGAAAACAAAAAACATGAATAGAGGTAGTCGCAGGTGTAACCGACTCAAACGTCCTTTCTGAAATGTTATCAGAGTTGTCTTCTGTATTAGTGCTTGTGAGGTGATTCCTATCATGTCCTCTAGGTGCCACTGTTGCAAAACCTTTCATGATCAGCTGAGGCTTCTTTAAATCTTTCAGTAGGCAGTGGAAGTGGGTTACTGTAATACTGTGGTGTATTTTAGCACGGTGATAGACCACTTTTATAGACAATAAGTTTGCCAATGTGGACAAGAATTTTTAATGGGAGTGTCACCTCAGTGTGATTTACCTGCTCATATCAGCTCACATACATATGATAACTTTATTTCAGAACCAGAGTTACAAAGTTCTTCAAAATATTTACAAAAACCAATCTTAAAACAAATAGATTTATAAAGGTGAGGAAAAGCATCAGATTCAATAACAGATAACAAAATTCAAAAGAGCAAATACACAGAGAACTAAAGAGGAAAACTACAGACAATGAAGTGAAGAGTAGGGGCACCTTCAGAATTTTTTTCCATAGGGGTGGCCATGTGGGGGCCACTAAAAATATTGGGAATTTCCAGTTTTATTATGCTGTTGTCAAATATTGGTTACTTAAAAAAATGAGAAGAGAAGAGAAGAAAAGGGCAGGACTATTTATACACCTGGGGCTAACCAGTTTTGTGTTACTCTAACGAAATGGTACTAAAACAGGAGAATGAGACACAGGTGAAAGTAATCAGGATATTCAGACAGATGAGTAAAACCCAAAACAAACTAACAAAATAAAATAAAAAACAATCCACAAGACAGGAAGAAACACTGAGCATGTGAGAAATCCATCTATCGATCCATTCAAGTATGAGTTATTGTGCTTGTTGTTACAGGCTGTTCAGTTCTTTTGCAACACAGTGAGAGCTTGGTCCATATTGCCAATAATACGGTATGTTTTGTTTTGTTTTTTTGCCTGTCCCATTTGGTTCTTTAGCCGTCAGAATTGTTGTCTGAAGACCAACAAGGATACCCAATGGATTTACTTTGCCAAATGGATCATCATGGCATTGCCGTATTGGTCCATTTGATCGACCTTTGTTTTTATTATTTATTTTATTTTATTTTCAGTTGTTACAGACGGGACAGACATGAGTGAGGGATAGGAAAGGGAGAAAGAAAGAGGAAGGAAAAGAAAAACAGAAGAGGAGAGGGAAAGTGAGAAAGGGGGGGAGAAAAAAAATCTCCTGGATCACCTGTTGAGAGAAAAAGAATAGAAAACAAGCAAAAAAAAACCAAAGCAACATACTAAACACAACACCATCGCATTAATCTAGCTAAGTGTAAACAGCAGTAAATACTAAATATTAAATGTTGTTGTGCAGCACACAGGACAGACAGCGCACAATGTGCTTTGAAGTAGCAGCCAAGAAAGGTGTAATTTAAGTCTACGACCAGTGAACACGCGTGTGCACACCTGTGTGGATCAGCGCGCTTGTATTCAAATGGTTTCCCCATGTAATGGTCTGCAAGAGGATGTAGAGAGCCATAGCCCTGTCCCCCAGGGCATGAAGCAGGCATGGAGGAGATCCAGGCCCCAGACATCCAGAGGCCCCAGAGTGCGAGAGCCCAAGGAGGACCACTGGAGGGGCATCCGTGCCACCCTCATGGGAAGGGCTGAGGATCCCCGACCAGGCGTCACCCAGTAGCCACCGAGCAGAAGCTAGAGGGGGCTGCACTGGGGTGGTTCGCAGCTGAGTTTGAAGCAATGAGAATGAAAATGATCTCCTCTGAGCCTGGGTGGAGTGCTCACTCTGGGTGAGAGATGAGTTGTTGTGCCAAGTGAAAGAGTTTAAGTATCTCGGGGTCTCGTTCACAAGTGAAACGAACAGGAGACTGACAAACAGATCAGTGTTGCATCTGCAGTGTGGACACTGTACCGGTCTGTTGTGGTGAAGAAAGCGCTGAGCATGAAAATAAAGCTGTCCATTTACCAGTTACCAACCTTACCTATGGTCACAAGCTCAAGGTAGTGAATACAATGATGTAATCTCAAATACAAGTAATGGAAATTCCTCTAACTTAGAAATAGGGTGAAGAGCTCAGTCATTTATGAGTGTCTTAGATTAGAGCCGCTACCCCTCAGCATCGAAAGGAGCCAGCTGAAGTGATTCAAGCATCTGACTACGATACTTCCTGGGTGCCCTCTGGGTGAGGGCAGACCCAGCACACGCTGGAGAGATTATATCGCTCAGCTGGCTTGGACACATCTTGCTGTCGCCATAAATAAGGTGGAGGAGGTGCCGGGGTAGAGGGAGGTCTGGGCTTCTCTGCGTAAGCTGCTCCCCCACGATCCAAACCCAGATAAGTGGCAGAGGATGGATGGATGGATGGATGGATGGATAGATGGATGGATGACAATCTTTTTCTCATAATACAAAGGCAGGTACTTACATGACTGTCTTATTATCCATACATATTAGAATTTTCTAGGTTTTAGTCGTCCTCTACAACTGCAATAAAAAAAATAAGTGGGGTTTAATTTACTCAAAGGAAAAAAGAATTTTGTTTGTCAAATGGCAGAAAAATATTGTTGTTATTTATATTTTAGCTCCTGCAACAAAAGTTTGCTTTAAGTGGTTTAAATGTTAAGTATGTGAACATCAGTGCTTCCAGTTATGTAAGAGTGACACAAAAGCTTTATTTTACATACAGAAATAAACATGTTATTGATGCACTTTTCCTTCTTTTCTGATACCACTAGCACCTAAAATAGTTTAGAAAAAAGTGTTGAAAGGTCAAACACAGACACATATACACACATACGGAGGTGAAAAATACCTGAAGCAAGAAAATATCTGGTAAACACATTTTCACATCCATACCAACACCTGTCTATACTTACACAAATCTCCATTTATGTGCAGACTGGGTAAGAGAATAAGAGAAAATGATTGTAGATATATAGATTGAAACTTTGTTTAATATATCTGCATATTAAACAGTAACTTTAATTAGCTTGTAATTAGCAAATTGCTCTGCAAATGACTTCTCTGTCTGATAATGTACTCAAATTTTAAATAAAGTGAATTAATAACTAATGAGATTACATGTTTTTGAGCATTTGTCTGTTCTTTTTTATCTTTTTGGAATAACTTGGTCAAAAGCAAACAGAAGAAGGATAAATATGTGCCCCCTTTGCTAAAGTTTGTGGTGCAGAACAGGTCGATCTGTTGTCAGATAATTGCATTTCTCTAATAAAAACACTTAAAAGAATAATTTAGAGACTAGACAATTTACTGACAAGCAGTTTCATGGCCAGGTGAGACCTGTTACCTCATTATTTCATGAAAAATAAGCAGATACAAGATCTGGAGTGGATTCCATGTTGTGTTGTTGAACTTAGTAGCTGTTCACTGGAATTCCCATCAGCCACCATTAAGTTGAATACCAAAAAACCTAAAAACTTTAGAAGTGCCTAACTCTACAGTCCACTATATTCTTAGAAAAGGAGGATTATTGTTATTGCTGAGCACTGGCCAGTTCAACAATAACAAAAGGCCATGAAGACCACAGAAGACATCTAAGGTGGGCGATTGCTGAATTCTTTCCTTGGTTAAGAAAAACATATCGAGTCAAAGTCTACAATCAAGAGATACATTAATGTACCTGAGACAAAATTAGACTTTACAAGAAAACACCTAAAAGAGCCTGCTTAGTTCGGGGGGGGTCAAAGGTGGAAAGCACGATCCAGTGCAAATGGATAATGACCCAAAGCAAAGTGCAAAAGCAACAAAAAAAGATATTCTTCAGTTTTCAAGTACTGATCTCATGTTCTCTATGCAAACAGAGCATGCTTTTCATTTGCTGAAGACAAACCCGAAGGCAGAGAGATCCACAAACAAGCATCTGATGAGAGGAAACAGCATTTGGTCTGCACTTTAGTCACGTGTGGACTGTTTGATTTAAAACCCACTGTGTACAGCTGTAAAGAATGACTCTTTAATTGTTGGTGGGCTGGGATTGTTTATGATACGGCGTGACGTCACTAGTGTCACTTGCCTGAACAAGCAGAGAGTAAACTGACCGAGCCAGTCTCCATGAGCCTCTGCAGACTCGACCGACCGTTTCGCAGCTCACTCACGGACCCGCATTTACACCCCAGAATCGCGGATAACTTGATTCTGGTCGGCCGGGAGGATCCGGGAGGTCTCCTCCTCCCCCTCCTCACCATGAAGGCGACCAGCTAACGCTAGCCGAGCAGTGTCCGCTAACAGCGGGACTCCTCCGGGCTGACAGTTTACAGCAGCGGCGGGTTCAGAGGAGGAGGAGGAGGTGGTTAGCACCCAGCTAACCACACACTGCTGCCTGTGAGCCGATCAGGAGCTGAAAGGAAGGATTAGACGGTGAGTGAGCTCTGTAGCAGCGTTAGCCGCATGGTTTGTTGTTATCCTCTGTTTACTTGCTTTTCTTTCATTGCTAACTTAGCTAGCTAGCGTTAGCGAAGTTAATGCTCCACATTCAGTTTCTGCTCGGGGCTCTCAAAGAGATTTGGGCGTTACATGCTGAATTGAGTAGACTATTAGTTCAGGGAGGTATCACTTCAATAACAGATTCCCTCCTGTGGGCTGCTCTTTATGTCCAACATAGTCTTTGACTCCAGGTTAGGGTGAGCAGGTGTCCCAGTTTGTATGGGACTGCACAGCACCTTCAGCCTTAGTCCAGTTGACATGTTTAAGTTATTGTGTTACAATGAGAGAATAATTGATAGACACCAGCGTAAACCCCCCAACTTTAGCAAGAGTCATTTATATGTATGAGAAGCTGTAAAAATTGGATAAAAAATTAAATGCAGTATATTTATAACTTTTATAGATCTACACACCAACACGTTGTCTTTATGAGGTTTTAAGTTGCTTTCGGAAAGGCATCAGACAATAACACAAAATACAGCAGCTGTTTGTTTTTAAAGTTATATACGCTGTTGACATCAGTAATTTCTTCGACATTTAGTTTGTCGGGATCTGGTAACTACTGCATGCATGTAACATATAAACCTGTGACAGAATAGTGTCAACACATGGTGAGTGTGCGGGTTGAGAGGCAGATTTGCATTATGATGTTATAACAGGTGTTGTGGTCAGAAGTAGGTCATTGTTGCTCATGTATTTATTCTTTCCCCCCCTCATTTCCTGTTAGAAAATGTGATTAGCTGAAAATAGAAAGATTTCCTCTACACGCTGTAATGCATTTTGCCATCAATGTTGTTAATTAATTTTATGTAGGCCCTACAAATATCCTGAATAGGAAATGTAATGACACAACTAAGTGGTGGGGGAGGGCTTGCTGGGGGGGAAGAGAGTATTGCTTTACAATACTTAAATAAATAAATACTTGTTGCAGATTTTCTTAAATCTTTGTCGCACATCATTTTTCTGCAACAGTTCTTGGACAGATGGGACAAAAATGAAACCAACACTAAAACCTCATTGCAGTTGTGAAGCATGGTGGAGGCAGCATCATGGTTTCAGAGATCTGCCTTGTGAGTGAATGAGTGGATAAATTAACCTTGTGATGATCGAACAAACTGTGTAGAAAAATAGCCAATATAATAGTGTGCATTATAAGGTTGATTTATGTGTGGCTTATATGGGATTTATTTATTTATTTTAAATGTATCTCTGGCCTGATTCAGCACGTGCCCCCCTGCTGGTGCATGTGTCAGCTTAACGTCCTGATGTTAATTTGAGACTCTGAGGAATGACCTGCGAAGGGTTAAAGATATCCCGACTGTTCTTAGGGCTCCTGAGATGATCTGAGATCATTTGTATGGGTAATTATTACATTAGTATTAACAAAGAGTTCACACTCTTTCTCGCAGTTGTGTGCGTTGGTGTGTGGAGGTATTTACAGTTTGATTGTGTGGGGCAAAGGACCTATTTAAATGCTGCAGGCTGGGAGTGTCCACTCTTTGTGCTCGTTCATCATTAACCAGACACCA